GACTAGCTATATGATCATCTAGTTTTGTTCAGCTGTACAGTTTTAGCAACTAGACTATGACGATGCCCATCCCTGAAAGAACAGCACAAAGCATGACAGCAGACATACTGACAACACAATGACTGGACTTAGGCCAAATCTGAGATCAAAGTCCACGATCTTCCTCTGTGACTGGACTTGCTCACATGTTGTCAAAGGGCTTAGATAACTAGGACTTAATTCACATTCACAAGCTACTATAATGGATAATGATAATAATGCATCAAATATTATATAGCGCTTTATCAGAGGCACCTCGAGGCACTTTACACTGGATACATTATTCATTCGCTCACACAGTCACACCCTGGTGGTGGTAAACTACCTTGATAGTCACAGATGCCCTTGGTCAGACTGACGGAAACGTGGGTGCCAGTTTGTGCCTACGGCCTCTACGGCCACCCCCACACCACACTGACAATCATACACCAGTAGAGGACACACACTGGGAGCAAGGTGGGTTAAGTGTCTTGGCCAAGGACACAACAGACAGACTCGGGATAGGGGGGAATTGAACCACCAACCTTCTGGTTATTGGAAGACCACTCTACCTCCTGAGCTACTGCCGCCCCTGGATCCCTAATACACATATATACTTCTTTCTGTACAGTAAATAGCAGTTAGTTTCTATTTATTGTAAAGAAATGCTAACCAGGCCAATTCATTTTGATTTTATCTAAATAAGTCAGATAAAATACAGATTTCATGATGGATTGCTGTGGCTTCCTAACATCTTCCAAAATACTTTTGAGACTTTTTCCTGTTGAAATGACTAAGTTTGGTAAGGAGGTGAGCTGATGATGAGACATAATCTCCGGACCCCGAATGACCTGTCCTCCGGGGTTTGAAGGAGCTCAGCAGGAACACCTAAAGTTTTCTCTTCACTTCGACTCGAACGTTGCGTGACTCCACGCTTTCAGATCCAAAAAGTACTGCTTCAGAAAACAGAGAAAAAAAAAAGAAATCTATCTGACACCTGTGTCCAAACTGCGTCTAGTTTACAGGAGCCTCTCAGTGCACACGCCTACGCACGTCTGACACACTTCTCTACGCACGAGGGTCTCCCCCAAAATCCTCCGGAATGTTTCTGTGAGTTAATAGAGTCGAGACGGATTTACGCACGACTCCTGTCACAGCTCTTCCTGACGTTTCGAAAGATCTGTGCAATCTGGACCGGGTATTTGGAACCCCTTCTTCTAAAGTCCCATCAATATGAGAAAAAATAAAAAAAATCTGTGTAATGCAGCAAACATTATCAGTCCTTCCAGGCAGTGATTCATCGCTTGCTCTAAACTCACGATTTGCTCATCTCTGCCTAAAATCATCTGGTGAAACATTTCTTAGAAACATTTTCGACCAGTCGTCAGCATTTGATGTTTGATTATTACAACGTGCCTTCCCCACGAATCGAGACCAAAAGAGACTTGTTTGAGATTATGAGAGTGATTTTAACTAAGATTTAAATACATGGCACCCCTTTAAAGAAACCATCGCATATGTATCGATGCAACAGCTAAGACAAACCGAATAACTGCATTCTGTTAATAATAGGCAGTTGTGATCTGAAATGCACCCCTTAACATGTGATTACACTGAATGTGCCGTAACAGCTGTACTGTAGAGATGGAAAATGATATATTTCACTTGTTGGTACCTCAGAGACTCTATTGTCATAATACAGGAATTTCATCCCTCCAGCTGCTAATTTTTGGACTTCTCATCGCACCACACTGAATTACAACAAACATGCTATTTTCATCCTCCTGGTTTACAGACCTGCACAGTGATGCAGGCTATACTTTTCCTCCCCTTTATAAATAGCTGCACTCCTTCAATGACGTGGGATACGCACGTACATGTGTAGGTGAATCTTTGAATGAGCTCTCCCTCTCTCCCCCTGCCTCTCTCCCTCCCTCCCTCCCTCCTTCCCCTCCCCCCTTCCCCCCCTCCTCCTCCTCCGTTCCCTCTACTAGTTACTACGGGATCTCTATAAAAAGCCTACGGTTGATGGGAGAGCCCGGTCTGTATGGGAAGCGACTTTGGAGAAGAAGAGGGACGACAGCATGACACAGATTTGCTGCTGATAGTTTTTCGGTGATGAAGACTGAGCTCAAAGACGAGCGTTTTTTCTGCAGTATGGAGACGCAGACATGGCCACGCATGGAACTTCAACTGAGGCAAGTTTAATTTCTATTCCTAAAACCCTATTTTTGATAATAATTCAAATTCTAGTATTGGGAATATTCTCTTTTGTTGTGGGTTAACTCGGATTTGTATTACATGGACAATCTCCATTGTAAAATATTCTGCTTTAATAGACACTATATTCTCAATTTGACTCTCCGGTTGGAAGTTGCTGCAGTGTGACTCATTTTCTCTCCCATGTGGGCAGCACTCAGTCTGCAATCTGAAAAAAAAAGAAAAAGAAAATGAAATTCATATTTCAGAGAAAGCAAAATGCGGTCTTAGAAATCTGTACTTTCTGTCAGGTTCACTCTGTTCCCATTGCGCATGCAGGGTACATGTATATAATTAAATAATGTCTCTCCGTGTGTGTTGGGTTTGTTCACCTGTACCTCTCACGCTGTACCTGCCTCACACTCAGACAGGTAAACGCTGTTTTGCCCCTCAGGTAGCACAGGACACTTCACAGGTAACGTAGCGCTGTCCGGCTTAAGTGGGTAAAACGCCGCCGTGCAGTATGCAATGACACGTGCACACACACGCTCGTGCACGTACACTGTGCCCAGATGTGTGTGTGTGTGCACGGGCTTCAGTGGCTGTACGTGCGTGTATAAAGAGGAAAGAGAAAGTTGGTGTTGGGGGTGGGGATGGGGGGTATAATCTCAACAATTCATTTGCATTCTCGGGAGCGCGTGGCACCGGGAGGTTTCCGGTGATAGTGATGACATTATAGCCATCACCTTCTTCCGGTGTGGCACCCCCCTGCCCCCCCACCCCAACTCCCAATCCCCCCTTCTCAAACTCCCCCCCCCCCCCCCCCCCCCCCCTTTCTCTTTCTTTCCTCTTCATGCACTTCCGGTCGGCGTTTCCTTTAACTCTTTTTTTTCCCTCTCAGCTCTGCGCTGTGACGTCGTCGGCGAGTGAAGTCAGCCCTGCGTCATTCTTGCGCACTTTGCAGATGATACGCAGTCACCTACTATAACCCCTTTTATAGGCATGGCGAGCACGCGCGCGCGGGCACACTGCAGAAGTGTGATTTCTCCGGCGTGCGGGGGCGGCGTGAATGCGCAATGTGAGCGGCTCGTGCGCGGACAACACGAGGGAGGAGTGGGTGGAGCGAGTCAATGAAACCCCTTATTCATTCACAACTCGTTGTAGCCGCTGTTACACTGACTTTGATCAGACAACGACGGTAAATTATGCAAAAGTAGGGCAAAGAGATCGAAATAACTCCTCATGACAATGGGACAAAGCAGTTTATGTGAAGATAAGTGTTGATTAAACAGATTAAACATTTATCTTAACACTTATTTCATTCATTTTTAATATTAATGCCTCAAACCACAAATTATGGGCCGAAAATTCAATTTTTTTGGAGCTGAAATGTTTTTTTCACATACATCTGAAAACCAAAAAAATCAAAATGTCCTCAAAATCTAACAAATATATTTATTGATCTCGTTTGACACATTTTTATCATTCAAGGTGTTTTTTTTTGTAATTGTTAATCATATTGATTGATAAAAGTATCAAATATGATACATAAATCATTAGGTTATAGACTGCGTATTGATAAGTTTAACACATTTGTCTAAAATAACACTAAAGTTGAGGTGTTGTACAAGAAAAAACAAGTAGTACCCAAGTCAAAGTCCAGGCTTACGTGCGTATTTCGCCCGAGGGACCTGCGTGCTCATCACGTCGACCCACACAGTCAGAGAAGCGGTTTCTCCCCGGTGCCATGGAAACCGAGCCAGACCAAGCCGCTGCCCACGCGCTCTGATAAGCCAAGCGGCAAAATGGGGCGAGAGCCGATTGGTTTGCCGGCTAAGTGACGTCATATACCCGTACCCCCCAAAGGCACGTAACTTGCCGGGAGATGCGTGACTCGTCACCTGACCGGCATCTTCACGGTGATGAAACTAGACACTGCAGAGCTGTGGTCTGTAATGAAACTGGGACACCATAATGAGAAATATGATGTTTTATAGATTATCTATTTGTATCTTAAAGAATGTAACACTGATTTATAGAATTTTAACCTCAAACAACCTGAAGTATGAGAGTTTAAGTCACCTCTGCTTGGCTCTACAATTCAGCACCGCGGACAGCTCCGAGCCACGGAGCCGCTGAGCAGCTGTCCCATCGCTGTGGTGCTGAAACAGAGGTGTCGGGGGACCTGTTGCAGAGACATCCCTAACAACAATGTTATGCAATGAACTGAACGTAACTGAACAACACGTCCTCTTACAAACCTACTAAAACGAGGAATTGAGAGTGAAATATTTGATAACTTTAAACTAAAAAACGATTGAACAGATTTTATCCTCTGCTGTTGTATTCAGGAGTGGTTCAGCGCTGTGTTAGCTGTGTGTGACACGTGTGAGCAGCTCTGTTCTGTACGTTATGTACCACTGCATAGCTGAACTCTATGCTTTACTGGTGTGTGACAGAGAGGAGCCAGTACTTATCAGCACATCTAAACGAGTGATATGGACAGACAGTCAATCAAGATTAAGCAAACTACTTCATAAAATGTCAGGGTACAAATATCTCATCTAAGATTGGCTTCATGGTTACTAACTGTAAAAAAATACACTGAAATATTCAACACATATCCCACCTGATGGATGAGTCATTGATGCACGCTGTGGGGAGAATTCCTAAAAGGTTCTTTGTCTCCTGTTGAGGTCACACTACATAAAGTTTGACTGTTTCATTATATTAGCCAAGTGAGTCTCAGTTTACTAGACCTCCCCTATTTTTTTTTTTGCTCACGCACTTCCACTTCGACACTTGCACACATACAACCACTAACTAGGTCAGAGGCAGGAAGAAACAGTAGATGGATGATGCCCAGTACATACCATGCCAATAGGTCTTAATAAACTCTCTAATATTGTTAACTTTGCAATAAAAACATGAATAGCATGACAAGAATATTTATTGGTATTATATAAAATCATTTTTTCCACAACTTTTGATCTTTCCTTTTCCATGTCTGTTTAGTCAAACTTTTTACACATTACAGATGAACTTCTCAGTTGTTGAAACACAAGTGAATATGATAATATAAAAACATACCTTTTTGCTTTATAAACACATTTAGCTTGACATGCTCAGTCTTAGTCTTGTTGCTTCCCCTCAAGGCACCTGTAATATTGTATTTCTTAAAGGAGTAAATAAGTCAGTAAGTAAATGCTAAAAAAGTTGTGTATAAAATCATTATAGATGCTGATAAGACACTGTCACATCAGCATAATCTTTGTTTGACATTTATTGCACACAGTAACGCAGAGATGGTGCTTTAAATAAACTTTAAGCCTTAACTGTTGAATATCTATGCATGAAGAACATAATGATGAATATCCACCTCTTTGGGACTGTTACAGGTTTGATTCATGTAATGATACACCTTAAACTCCCTCCTTTTTGCTGTTACAGGTTTATCTTGGTTCCCCCTTCCTCCTAACTTGGCCAGAGCATCAGCACCTTGGCTTTAGACTGCTTACTGCTTATACAGTGTTACAGTACAGTAACAGTCTACAGTCATGGCTACTGAAGCATGGCAATATACCAAACACTGCAGCTGAAGAGGATATGCAGAGAACACGCTGAAGGATATCAGTCTAAGGGAAACACACTGAGAATGATGTCCAGTGCCCAGAAAATGTCTGGTTTGATACTTAAGTTCACTGTATCCCTGCCGTTTCTCCTCCTGCATCACCTCCTCAGTCTTGATCCGCCGGTTCAGAGAGGAAACCTGAGTGGGCTTGCATTGCGGGAGTCCTACACCCTGTTAGGTGCGTAACATCCACGCTCAAACCAATGGGGCCTTGCAGTTTCCAGTTACCATGCCAACTCCCGCTTCTTCTCCTCCTTCTCCTCCACCCTGCTGTCTCCATGGTGACCGTGGCTTTAGATTGTTACTCTAGCAACTGCACCATGGTAACAGTCTACAGCCATGGTCGTTAGGGGCAGATATCATCGAGGGATGAAAAAGAAGACAGAAAGTTACGTTGTTGGTGATAATTAAGTTAGAATTGACACTTTTGTTATAATTCTCTCAACGGGTCACTCACTCACCCTTTATGTCTTTAGCTGTGGAGTTGACAGCTTCTTCTCCATGGCGGAAAATTTGTAGGAGTCTTTTGATACAAAACCAAAATGACATGCTAAAAAGAAACCAAGATAAAGTTCAGTTACTACCATGCAAAGACACATATGGAGACGTTTGTTTTCACCTGCACTTTATTAGTAATTGTAATATGTTTCTTTAAGTGTTGATCACTCAGTACAGCAACAAATGAAAAGAGCGCACACAGAGTGGATGAGTCACCCAGCTCGAACACCTGTTTCTCTATCTGTTTATCAGACAAGGGCAGCAGCACTTCAAAGTAGCACAGCCAGAAACTCCCAGCAGGCAGAGCTGCAACCTGCAGACAGACACCCCAGCACACGTAGAGTGCTACACACATGTATGCACACACACATGCACGTAAAAAGATACTGTATGCTCAAAATAAACTGTGACACATGAAGACTTGTCTCCAGTCTCACTTACTCAGCAGTGATGCTGGGATATCCAGAGATATTCTGCCCTCTACAGGTAAGGATTCCTCTTTGCATTCTGGTAATAAAAGATAAACTTGCTTGAGCTGAGATGTTTTTGGAGAAAAAAAGAGGTCATAAAATAAATAAAGATGAATAAAAACACTCCTTTGTGTACTGTGGTTACCTGCTTAGGTAGCTTTTATGTATGTGCCAAATTTCCACAGATTGTAGCTGATGTGACAGATGGTGATGTTATCCAAGGTCAAAGTAAAGAAGTAAAAAAAAGTCACTGATACTATTTGGTTGACTAATTCCAGAAAGAGGTGACAGAGGAGGTGCTATTCAGATTGAGAGCAGCAGCTGTTCACTCTTATAAATAGAACTGTTTTCAAAAGTTTCTCAACAGAGAGAACGAGAACTTAACAATGTCAGGGTGCATAATGTCACCAGTAACACAACAATGATGCAAGCGTCAGTCACACATACAGAGGATGGTTGCACTGTGGCAAAACTAGATCAATCAAAATGTGTCATCTGTGTAAAAGGATGACAATTTTAGCCAATAAAGTTAGACAAATTTGAAACTAAATAATCTAAATAAATAATAATCTAAATAATCCATGACTTACATTTCTGGTGATTTTTTGATAAAACACAACACATGTACAATCTGACTTCAAAAGAAAAGAGACACAATAAAAGACAAGAATAAGCTGTATAGACAGTTGTTTAGCACCTGTCTCCCTGCACTGTAAAAGCTCATGTGCTGACAGATAAACAACAGCACATAAACTCTTACTGTTCAGGGCTGACAGGTAAAAGTATCACTGAATTACACCACATTACAGGAGAATTTCACTGCTTCTTCAATAAAGAGGTCTACTCCTCAATATGGCTGAATACCTCTCAGTGTATTTAACATAAAACCATTTCAAATTTAAAGACATGATTTTTTAAAATTCTGTAATAAAAAATAATGAAATTTTAACAGCACATATAAGTTTAGCATCAGTTTGCCCAACTACAGCAGTGTGTGGTGGAAGGTTGGGAAATTCTGGGGTGATTGAAGACTCATTGAATTTTATGACGTTATTATGATCATAACTTCTGTTGCTATTATTACAACTGTTCGTTGAGCGCTCTTCTGGTGGTCTTACTCCCTGAAGTATTGGTTCGCAATATCATCGCCACCAACTAAACAATATTGTACAACAGTTCATTCTTTTTTTACATGAGACGTGTGAGCTATGGCGAGCCCTTCTCTCCTCTTCTTCTCTCTCTACCACAGTCTTGATGACTAATATTTACCCCAGTAGTGTCAGTCAGGCACCTATGAGGACAGCCAAACCACAGCGCTCCATGCCAGGGCCCAGCTCTGGCCTCTGAAACAGCCCAGTTAAGCACACAAGCAGACACATCAGAGCAGATGACATCACACATCAAACAGCGTGTCCTCAGGTCACCTCTGAACCCTCATGGTCGACAAAACATGCAACCTCCAAAGATATTTACATCGAGTGATGAAGTTTTAACCAGATATGTCACAAACTTAGCGTCCAATCACAGTCAGGGTGTTGAATAAGTTGAAATCTTGAGCTGTTTGGAAACTGTCCAGTAGTCAAACAGCAGCATAATAAGAAGCAGCAAGTCTAAAATCAAAGAAAATAACTGTTTTGGCACCGAACATAGAACATTTTGTCCAAATAAACAAAAAAGACTTGAAGTCAAGGAAAACCAGAAGTGTGTGAGTAAGCAAGCATGGAATAACAAATGACCAAATCACACCCATATGGAGGGAAAAGTATGCAAACACACACCCACGCACTTTGAAACACATAAACACCCACTGCCTGTAGTTCGGGCCAAGATACCACACTAACACTGCAGCATCTCTTGGTTTGTTGTATACTTTCAAACCATTATATGACATGAACTGACTTGCTTTGTCTTTTCTGTTCTTTATATAGCAATTGGACAGACAGCTCTAATTATACTCTCTTGGTTTCCTCTTTTCTATGACAACACACACACATCAAACACACTCTTCACATACTGCTGTCTGTCTCATGCAAAAAAAGGCATAGTCACATGCACATCCTTTTTTTTAAAAACACACATCCCCACCCATACCCACTCACACATATACACACACACAGGAAGGGGAAATGCATGGCTGAACGTCATGTGACACTGGACCTAAGCCATACCTCTGGAGCGCTTCCAACATAAAGTTACATCACATTAATCCACACAAGCATACCAGCTGATAAGTGCGAGCAGACACATAAACACATGCAGGCATGCATACAATTCAATTCACAGATGCTAAAACCAACTCCATCTTTGCATAGGGGGACAAGAAATATGACAGTCCCTCAATCTTCTGTATCTCCTTTTTTGTTGTGATACAAAAATTCTCAACTACAATGTTGACAAAACATTGAAATCATGAAAAAGATGTGGGAAAATGTGTAAATCCAAAAGTTGTAGATTGTGTGATAAAATACAAAGTCCTCCAGTGTAGGTCTTAAAATCGCAGATAATTCCACTGATGGAAGTTGTTGCAACAAGGCAGAGTTGGCAAACTTTGTCTGGCGACATCATGGGCCCTGGGATGACCAGGCTCTTTGGAGTTTAAGTGCAACTCTTATATAGACACGCATACCACGTGGCCCCTCCCCCTCTTTCCTTCCGTCTCCCTTAACAACAAATAATCAAAATAGAGCCCATCTGTGCCGTGACACACCCCTCTGCCCTCTACTCCATCCCTCATACTCCACCGGACGGAGAGGGAAAAAATGATCCTTCAGTAGGGGCAAGAACTGAAAATGTGCTCTTACTCTCCCTTTTTAACCACAACACCCAGAAAAAAAAGCGGGGAGAGGAAGGGGGAGACAGAGAGGGAGGATAACTCCACCCTCATCTGTTTCTGTCTCTCATTCCATTATTTCCCGGTTGTTGTGCAACAGGGGGAATGGATTCCTGAGAAGAGAGTCACGGTTCTGTTGTAAAACTTACTGGCAAGAGTGACCCTCTGTGTTTTTCTTTTTACTATTTCCCTCGCTTGCTCACTCTCTCCATTCGTCTCTTGTTGTTATCAAAACCATGTGTGTGAGTGTGTATGTGTGTGTGTGTGTGTGAGTGCTGTGAGGTCTTGGAGGGACACAAGGGCCACAGGGGAGCACAGGAGAGAGAGAAAACGGGGGCTGTGATGGAGGAGCTGGAAGACAAAACCATTTTACCTGTGTTTAAGAGAGCGGCGAGTCACCCTGTGTTCAAACAGGTGCCATTTTCTAAACATATGACGCACAGATTAAGAGAGAAAGAGTGGGTTTACAGGAGAGGATGCTGAACTGAGGCATGGCAAATAAAAAGCCGTAAAAACCCGCTTTGTCTGTAGTTTCTGGGTCAAGAGTGGTTTATGAGACTTCCAGACAAACCAAACTATTTTTGCCCGTCATAAACATAGCAGACATGTGAGGGGATACAACATGTGGATGACACACAGGATGTTGGATGGGAGGAGGATGTTGTGAGTTGGAGGCGAGGTAGAGGCCAGTAAGAGATGAAAGCAGAAGGGAAGGACAGAGAGAGAGAGAGAGAGAGAGAGAGAGAGTGAGAGAGACAGAGGGAGAGGTGGAGAGGAGGGAGCACACATCTGGAAACAATCGACTGAGTGCAGTCTGACATCCACATGCTTCAGCTGTAACAGAACAACTTGTCCTTGAACCTTGAGCATTGGAGCATGTGCACAGACCTGTCTATATAACCTGCGTGTGAGGACGTACCTTTATGCAACACATCAGCTGATCCTCAAGGTACATGGACTCTGCATGGAAGATCTTTGTTAAGATGTGCATACACTGCAATGCCAACATAGATGAAACTGATTATATTATGTCCACATTTATCTTGTTAACATCTTTAAATACATCCCTACATGTGTTCTGTTTTGTATCAACTTGAAGGAAATCGCTTTTTGGTAAACGTTGGTCAGAGTGACGCCAAGAGTGACTTATGAAATCAAGGTTTCCATTGTGGCTCTGATAAAAAATTCTTCTCATAACTTTCCACAATCATAGCAGAGTGTTCCCGGATTCTTAAAACAGCAGCCCTCTCCTTGTGATGTCTTGTTTTTACAGAGGAGAGAACAGTTTTTAGTTTGAACTGTTTTGGAAAAAAAAATAAAAAAATGAAGAAATCTCCTTGAGTCCAATCCAACAAAATGAGTCATATTGGATTCGTACTTAAATTCATCCAACGGATTGCTCAAATCTGTCTTTATGTGTGAAAAAAGAAAAACACTTAAAGGGATATTCTGGCGTAAAATTGAACACTAGCACTGCTTAGTACTAGCCACCAAACATCTTTTTAACTTTGCCTGATCTCTTTAGCAAAGAGACTAAACACAACTCACCCACTGTCTTCCAGCAGCTGCTTGTTTGTAGCGAGACCTCAGGCCAGTCCATTACAGGCTGCTGCGGGGTGATGCAGCCCAAGGAAGAACATTTATGATCATTTCTTCATGGAAATGCAATCAGACCAAGACGCTAAGGCAGAAGAACTACCACATCTGCAGTGCAAAATGATATTAATATGGTGATTATTACTTCAAGGAAATTATAAAGTAATGATCAATGATACAATGTCGCTGTTTGTGCTCACTGATGACCTCTTTGTCAACAAAGGCCAGCACTAGCTAGATTTGCACCTCAACTGTTGCTGAGACCTGGAGCTTTTTCATCCAAAAAGACCTGTCATGAGCTGCAAGTAACCTTTTAACAGCAGTTCACATAGCAATAGCTAACATATAGTAGGGATCTAGTACGGTTGCTACAGCAAGCCTTGGATAGTTTTATTAAGGCATAACTTTTGGGTTCTTTCATGACTCCAACATTATGTGAGGAGCAGCACCTACAATTTTGTCTAACTTTATATCACTGGAAAAGCTGCCAAGACACAGTATTACATTTCAGTGCTGTTAAAAAGTTGTAGCTTGTTTCTAGTGGACATCAGAGTTTGAGGATATTAGTGGAAACTTATTTGTGTTTACTTTTCAGGCAAGAAAAGGGAACACGTAGACAGACTAATGCAGAGGAAACATTTTACTTTAAGACTTTTGTTTGATGGGACATACTTTAATGTTGTCCCAGTCTTCATTCTCATGTAGGGGAAGCATTCCACATTATTTCATGACTTCAATTCCATTTTGTTGTTACTAAACCAACGGACAGCTGAAAAATTTCATAACTGGTTATTTACTAGAGTCAGTGCAGGCTGCTAGCATTGGTTTGAATTCCACTTAACTACTAAAACATGAACAAGTAACATCTGTATGCAATAAAAGACAGTTCTCAGAAAAAATGAGGCTGTTGAATTTTATTTGTTACAGATTAACTTTAAAATTATCACACAGCTCACAAAAATAGACTTGAATAAATTAAGTTAGCAATATTTTTTCATTTTATGTTACGTGACATGTTCCTTTAGAAGGATAGCAGGCACTATATGGTTCTGGATAGATCAGACCAGAACAGCTCTTCCTGAGAGAAAAGTTAGGACATCAAGTTTGGCATTTTACCCTAAGTGCCTCATGGATCCAGTTAAGATGTCACATGATTTTTCTGAACAATACATAATCAACATTCTCTGGTCATATTTTTGTCATCAAGTCTTCCATGTTGGTAGCTTTTAACTCATCTCGGTCCCTGTGGCTTCCTCTCTTCACTGAAACCTCTTGAGAAAGTCCTGGTATGTTTGTCTATGAGCAGATGCAGCGGGAACAAAATGGCCACCAGGATGTGTGAGAACCTGGGCATCCTGAAATGATGGGAGGAGCTCCCTGCTCATGTTGTCTGGGATGACTCGATCCTCCAGTCCAAATACATGCAGAGAGGGGATCAGGAGGGGTGCATCGTAGAATTTTTGGTGTTCATTACAGGCACTGCGGAAACCAGCAACTAGGATGGCAAAGCGGAAGCTGAACTCTGGCTCCAGTTTTTGTTCCTGAAGAGAGCACAGCATGGCCACAAAAGCTGCTCCCTGACTGAAGCCCAGGATGCCGTCAAATGGACCTTGAACCCTCACAGCATCTCTCACAGCTGTCATGCTTTCTTCAAGGCCGAGGCTGTTCTCACATTTCTGCTGAGCACTGAAACTCTTAGCATGGATGTCAGAAAACCACCAGCCCTTTGGCTCTTCATCACCGGCAGTACTGGGCTCTGAATTGTTCTTCTCTGGAGCATCTGAAAAATAATAGTAACAAAGTGATTATACAAGGCATGCATCAAATAGTTATTTCCCACTTCCACTCACCAATACTACCTCCAGACAGTGTACTGTCATGTTCAGAGGTATGAAAACATGGAATAGTCTTCCATATGTCTGCCATTACAAGGTTAACCAGTAAACTTGTGTTTAAAAAGAAGGTATACCAATATCTAAAGACCCAGACTTACTGAAATAAAAAGAAACAGAACATCTAGACAAGGCTGTGACAACATACAATACATGCAAAGGGGATTTTGAGTACTTGTACGTTTAACTTGGCCTTTATTGGTGTCTGTTGTAATTGGAAATGTAATGTCATCATAATTCTTGTTTTAGTAATGATTTTAACATCTTGAATAATTTTCCTGTTTGGACTTTTATCATTTTAATTTATACAAATGTTTAATGTCTTCTTGTGGACCCCAGGAAGAGTAGCTGCTACCTAGGTAGTAGCTAAAGGGGATCCAAATAAATAAATAAACATTTCTGTGTTGTCTTATTTTGAATTCAGACGAGGGGCTCCAAGTTCTTTCTTCAATCCTCCATCCTGATCACATCTGAACTGAATAAAAATATTTAATAAATTGCATTTTATGTTATGAATGCATCTCAAAATTAACAAATGTGCATTATAACTTTGTTTTGAAGGGTGATCTAGGTAAAGGTGAATTCTAAAATTGTAACAGAAGATTTAGTCTGAGATGTATTCATATCTTCAGAAAACTGTAATGTACAAATATTTGCCACTTACAGTAGTTCTCATTAACAGGCTACAAAATTACGTTCAATAGATAAATATATATATTACACTGTGACTCTCAGTAGGTTTGCTCCTCATTGCTGTTTACTTCCGCGTGTTTTAGTTGGACACAGGTGTAGAGGACTACCCACCTTCACTGCTGACTTGCTGCACACGGTGCGGTGCACTCAGGTAAATGAACTCCACGTGTTTCTTCAGGAGCTTCCGCAGAGCTCCGGTCTTTTCACGGAACGAGCCGCTGTTCTGACGGTAACCATGGATACACAGAACCCGGAGGGGTGCCATAGCAAAGTTGGCCGAGCTACTTTAGCTAACACTGGCCAGGGGCGGTTGTTACTCGGCTACACAAGATATGAGCGTTGGTGTAAAACAATATAAGTCGCTGTTATATACCTTGGGAGGCCATATTAAACATACAGTAGAATATTCAAAGTTAAACACAAAGTCAACTATTTATTGTACAAGTAAGAGTTTAGCAAGTTCGGCACACAGGCCACGCGAGTTCTGCCGGAGTGAAAAGGAAGTGCCTCCGGTCATTTCTTTCAAAGTAAAATTCCTTTTGACTATTTTTTTAAATGCTTTATTCAGAGTTAACAAAATTATAATTCTAAACATAATAGTTTCAGTTCAATACAGTAATTTCAATATTGAAATAATATGTGAGAAATACTTAACAATATGCGAAAGTGACAATGCATGTTTACACAGGAAAAAGAACAGTATGGCAATAAAATAAAGTAGATAGTAAAGAACAACAAGCTAACAGAAACATAAAAGTAACTTAAAAAATAAAATAATTTAAGCTTTGCAAAACTTTACAAAGGTTTTCTCTCTTTTTTTAAAACTCCCTTTGACTAGTGTTGTCTGTGGAAAAAATTAAATGACAATGATAAAGGGAAGCTATATGATGAATTTTAAAAATAATCCTAACTCAGCTTTTAAATTAAAACGACATTCCTTGCTTTACCAAGTATTTAAATCAAGTAAACGTGACTATACTACTGTAAAAATGAAGTGTAGTAGGCTATGATACAAAATACTGGAATAAACAAATATGAACAGCTGTTGAAGACTCTGACCTCACTATGGTTTAACTTAGTGAGGTCAGAGGGTATGCATTTATGCATTATAGGCTGCGGAATGCCTATTTTTCTTAATTTTTATCTTTAATTTTCCACATTGAAAATAATAATAATAATTATTATTATTATCATATAAAACTTTTCAAAAAGTAAGGAAGTGCTTAAAATTAAGTGGCATAACTAAAAGAGAAAAAAGAAAAAACCCAAAGCAGTTAACAGCTGAACTTAAAAAAAGAAGCAATAAAGCAATAAAGCAAGCCCTGAACAGGATTAAGAAGAGGCAATGTGACAGAAGTAAAGTTTAGACAGAGGACAACGTTCAACACCTTGATGGCAGAAAGAAACTTTCTGAAGGAACCCAGATTACCACACTTGTTTTATTCTCCTGAAGTTGATGTTGAATAAAGCTCAAACACCTCTTTGTTGAGTCATACCTCCTATAGGAAAAGAAACATTTCTGATAGCATTTTTCTACCTTTGAAAACCATGAGTCATTTTTCCTTGCTTAAAATGACAACAGCTGTGGTGGCTCAGAGTGTACAAAGTTGTGACAGCCCTGCACATCAAAGTTTTTGTTGTTCATTACTGTCTGGCTCTGCTCTGCTCCGCTTTCTTTCAGCTCTGATTAACGCCAAACTAAACAGACAGCTCAGGCTGATGATGCTGCCACCATTCATGCCAGCCTCATGACAAGATGAAGATCAGTGTTCGTTTAATGAGGCATGATAATCTTGGACACAATATGACAGTGTTTTAATGGAAAACAAAATCCTGAGTGTCCATTATGCGATTCATTTGCTATTAGAGTTGTTTTTGTCAATAAATGTATTTAAGTGAAGCCACTAGAAGTTCAAAGTGATAATTTAACAGTCAAATCTCTGAGTGATAGGACATGATCATTTTTTTCTTTTTTTGTATTTCTGTACTGCTCTGAATTATTCAGCACTCGATTTCCTCTGTGGAGTGTCTGCTACTTCTTAAACAACCAAAGGATTACAGATTACAGAGATCCTTTGATTTCTGGAGTGAAAACAAATGTGTGGTTTTACCATGGTAAAGTCTGATGAATTCTTTAAAGCACTAATTCCTAGCTGAGGGGTCCAAATCCCTACTTCACCAATTCCAAAAAGACTTCTTGATTTGAGTCCTATAGAACTAAATATACGTAGAGTCTCTGTGAGTGACTTTCAGCTTTTCTGGCAGTCAAATATTGAATATTTGTTCTGAAATATTGAAACAGCTTTTTCTTTTTTTAACATTCTGTAAATCATGCTGTCTGCCACCAACATCATATGTCAAATTAGAGGGGAAATCTGTTCAGTGTGCCTATTGCTAATATTATTCAAAAATAATGTATTAAAAATCAAGATATTTAATTCTAAGGTACAAGCTTACGGTAATCTATTTTTTGGTGGTTACGTAAGGATTAAGATACTGACACATCCATCCACTCCGAAACAATTGAATTTCAAGCCACTGCTTAGAATTGGGTTTGTCCCAGTTTTAGCGCCCCCCTGTGGACAAAGCAATCTCATTCCTGATCTTTTTTCTGACCACACTGTCAACCAGATTTTATCTCATTTCCAAACATTTCACTCACTGTGAGTCTCTAATGAGGGAAGATTAAACAAAGGTAGTTGTGCAGAGGGCTCCAACTTCATCCTACCAGGCAGGCAGCACTGGTTATGGATGAAATGATCAGTCATATTGCTGATGGTTTAGTTTACATTTGTAGGTTCATAATCAGTTTCAGGGGAAAAGGAACCCCCCAGTTAGCAACAGCTGTTTTAGAAATGGAGAAAAGTCATCCATCCAACGCTTCATGTAGTCATATAACACTGCCTTAAAGATAGTTTCAGAGAGGATTCACACACTGGCTTTATTGTGTGAGCTTACACTTTGTGTTGCAAACTGTAAATATCATAAAAAGATTTGAGTACTTACATTATTCATCTCTCTGCAGCAACTTACATCCAAACTATATACTCACAAAAATCGACAAGGAGCTTTATTTTCACCACAGATGAAAGTAAAATGGTAATTCTAGTCCACAGGAACTCATTCATCAAACCCTCTTTCAACCTCGCTCCCCCTAAAGGACCCGGCTGAAAATGAAGACATTATCTTTGATCCAGATTCTCTTTTTGACAAACGTTTGAAGGCAATATCCCAAACAGCCGATTCTCACTACAGCAGAGATATGCAGAAGCTGGCATTTAGCCAGCTTCCTCAGGGTGTGTGTGGTTTGCCGAAAGCAGTGACAGCTATTAAAGTCTGATTCATAATAAGAGTAAAACAGGCAGATGGTGAGTTTAACCAGGTTTAGTTTATGTAGATGCACTTCTGCATTGTTTTTGCATCCATTATATGCACAAACTGTTTTCCTTTTACTTATTTTAAAACAACCCTTGTGGCCCCAAAACACACGGCCTTAAAGATGTTCACTGGGATGCTTTGTGAGCGTTTGTTTATCATAAAAGTGTTGTGGGTCAGGGTTTACCCAGCTGGGATTTTTGGATAATCCAGCCAGGAGGTTAAAGACAGTTTCAGATTCAAGGTAAAACAAGCATCTGATTCACATCGACTCTTTTCTGCTGCTCCTGCCTCCTCTCAGGGTCTCAGTCAACATACCATTGTTTTCTTTGATGATATTACTCAAGGTTTTGGAGAGGATTTCAACACCAACTCCAGTGAAAGGTCTTCTATTGCCGAGAAAGCGCACATGTTGCCCGCCATGACGCACATGCTAATTAGAAGGAGAGAGGAAGGGAAAAAAATACACACCCAAGGGACAAGGCTGCTGTTGATGCTCTCCAACACTGATGGGGGAGCCGTGTGTTCCCCCCAAGGGAAGCAGAAAGAGAGTGAGAGGGAGGGAGACCTTTAGTGTAGACAAACTTGTTAATTTTTTTCAATTATTTTAATTCCTTTGGAATTGGTAACAGCAGCATAATAATTCCCCCTGCAGCTCAACACTTCAACAAGTCCTCCTCTTTAAAGCTCAACAACCTGAGCTCTCATGTGGATTATAAAACATATCACTTTCATATAACAACCTGCAGCAGCCTGGCAGCATATGAAATAAATAAGTAATAACGTGCAAAAACAAACATTTTATCAGGAACAGCCATTGAAATATAATTATCTATCTTGGAATGATATATTATGTACAACATGTAGTGTTAATGGTAGCATAATGACTATAATGTGGGTAATTAGTGTATAAAAAATACATGAGGCCCTTATGTGCCATAACGTGTCCTGGATTGCAAATACCAAGGCCTGCACATCACCTATGTTTGTTAAAGTCAGTGAACGATTTCAGCCTGACTTCATTCATATAACCCATACCCATATTACCATACACCTTTGTGTTGTAGCCATGGGGTCTGTTGTCAGTCTTGTGTCTGTCTCTCACAAAATAGAGTCAAAACAGTCTCAACACAACAGGAACTAAGAGCACATTGTGTAAATTTTATACTAATTTACAATACACAAGGCTGCCTGCCTCTCACCAGCTGCTTTAAAAATGCATCATTATCTCAAATACAGTATATGTTCAGAAGGAGACTCTAATCTTACGTATGAAGTTTGAGGCAGTTTAGAGCTTTTTGATTGATGTTAAAGTAACTTCCGGTTTTCTGACAACACATCAAAATTCAACAAGGCACCCCAGCCACACCCACTAAAGGATGTTTTTTTTACCTTGGTATCATTGCCAATCTTATCATTATTTATATCACCGTAGGATGAACTTATCATATTGAACTGTATCACTTTGACTCAAAGCTGTCACTTTAACTTTCCATAACATGACCTGACAGGAAAACTGTTTATTCATACCTTTTTGTAACTTTTGCTTTATTAAAGATACATTAATTTTATTCTGTTCTTACTTTATCCGATTCTTTTTTCTACTCTTGTTGTATTCCTACTCATACTGTGTTGCTGCAGCCGAATCCCCTCTTATTTAATCTAATCGATTGTAAGCTCACCTGACCTATTTATCCGCGCCCACCAAGAAAACCTTCTGTATATCAAATATCCGAAGGGTGTTAGAAAATATAATAACAGTAGAGCACCCAAACAATGGCAGTATGGATCTCACAATATTTGGTGCTCAGGCTGTTGATATAATATCATAATATATGCAGGTTTTTGAGGTGTTACTTTTGATCCGTGTCAGTATCAGTATGATGTTTATTAGGTAGACAGTTTGGCAAAGAGATGTAACTACTCATGGCTCGTTTGAAATAGCGTCCACCTTTATGTTTTACATTTGTCCACAGGGGGGCAGTGGTGCACCACTGATCCAGCAAACCTCATGCCTCCCTGGCAGCATTATACTGCCAGAAAGTGAACCCACCTGCATATGCAAAAACAAAACCCTCAGCAAGTTTCTGCTCAGAATTTATTATCAACAGTGGAGCCTTGCATATTTTT